GAGTATTTTTGGAGGTGTAATGATAAGAAAGATTGTCATATTTAACAAAAGACGTGAAAATCAAAGTTTCAGACTTAAACAGATTTAGTATTTGTCAATGTTATTGTGGCTTATTAACATTTCATTTTTAATATTTTTTATTGAGCTTTGTACAACGATTGTTTATTAGGAAAAATTGAAAAAGCAACAAAGTCTAAGCGGTAGAAGTTATAGCAGCTATTACGGAGATCACCACATCTCCTCATCAGACATATTTTTTCTAGACAGATTTTGTTAGAAATAGTTATTTTGGTTAAAATAAATTGCAAAGTGAAGTACTACACTTAGCTAGGCCTTACCATTGACATTTGGCTATTATTTTTTTTTTTTTGTATTGACGATGTTGAAAATTTTTCGCTATATAAAAAATTTGTCGAACATACTTCGTATGGAACAAATGACTAAATAAAATAAAAAGATGGGAATCGAAGTGCGTTTGAAAAAGCTTTATTTCCGAGCTATATTCAGGAATGTTGCCACATGTTTAAAAAATCAAATTCTAATTGAATTGCGGCAATTAGGTAATTGAAATGTGTGTCATAATATGGTTGTCAGACCTAAAGCTCTTTAAACTGAAAATATTTTGAAAAGGGTTACAACCTGTTTGAAAAATCGAGTTAAATTAAATTATGCATCAGCTATACGTGATATTAAAGTAAGGGTTTCAAACGAAAGGGTGGTAAGATTATTTTTATTTTGAACACTTAGTATATTTGTTAGATATCTGGAAAGGGTTGCCATCTATTTAAAAAGTTAAATTCATATTATAAAACAAGAATCAATCCAAATGGAATGTTGTCACGTGTTTAAAAAATCACACTCTACTTGAATTGCGGCAATTGGGTACATAATTGAAATTTATCAGAAAATATTTTGAGGGGGTGGCCACCTGTTTGAAAAGTTGAATTTATTTAACTTTTACACAAGATATTTATATGATATGTTTAGATATGAGGGTCAAACGAAGGAGTTTTTGAAAGCTTTGTTTTGAAAATACTGTTAGTTAGGATTGCCACCTATTCGAAAAGTCTTATCTAACTATGTATATATATGTATGTACAATAAGCGAGCGAATTTTTTGTAAAGGTCATCAGATCTGCACCGTTCTTTCGAATTTCAAAAATGAGATAGAGTTTGGCGTGGGATCCACACGCAACTTTTTTTTTATATCAAAATGGTCATGATCTGATAGAAATTTTCACTCTTTGGTGCTTTTTCTTGATTTTACTTTTCTTTGAGCAATTGTACTTATTTTGTTTTGCTAATTTTAAATCAAAATCAGCCAGAGTTTATATGTATGTTAAATAAAATACTAAAATACTTAAATAATGCTTAAAGATATCTACAAAAAATTCTCAATTAGCCAAAAATATGAAAATCTAGAATAATACCACTTCAAAACCATAAAGCGGTTGGCTACGTCATTACAGTACCCCTCCTCGCCCCAACTACGTTAGCCGATTTCTGAATGAACACTTTCTTCTCTCTCTTTCTGCCAATGCTTACCCATTCCCCTGTTTTCTTTCTCATTCTTATTTGCCAGCTATTGACCGTCTGTTGATGTTTTCGGTTGCCGCCGTATTTAATGCCACATTTGCCTCCTCAATTGTCACATAAATTACGACAGATGCTTAATAAAGCTTTGGTTGTCACATTCCTGCGGCGGTCACTATAACGTTTATACATTTTTATATACATACATGCATACATAGTATATAAAGCTGGCTTGTTTGTATGTACTATATGGAATATTCATAAATCGTTCATATCTCGCTTTTGTGAAAAATTTTCACCAACAGAAAGATTAATTTTTGTCATACGCGCGCATTTTTTATTACCCTGCAAATGTGAAGTCCATCTGGTCATCCGTCCATACGCCCATGCAAGAAGCGCAGCCACCCATCCATCGCGAAAATTTTCGCATAAATTTTCATGAAATTAAGCGCACAGATTGAAAATTGTCAGTGAAATATAACTAGACGTGTATTTAAGGTACATATATATATGCACCCAGATACATACATACATTCATAAGTCTATGTCCGAGGCTAAAGTATAATACACTTACTATTAAATTTCTGTCAGCTTTTGCTATTAAGTTGACATGCAATTTGTATAAGAATTTATTGCATTTGTTTCATTATCGAGCCTAAAGTTCAATGCAGGTTGACGATGAAGGAAACAAATTGTTTTAAAGTGAAAAAATTTCACTTTCAGTGCATTCACTTTGTGCTATTTTCTATTTCCGTATGCGTTAAATGCGAACTATTGTGAAACCATATTTAAGAAATCTGAAACATTCGAAAAAAAAATCACAAACTATAAATTATTTTTACCCGCTATAAGATTGCAACGCAATTTCCTTACTTTCCATTAAATTCATTTTTTCGAGTACCCTAAATGGTATGCGCCAATGCAGCTGTGCTACTAATCTCTTATATCCCTTAAATGCTTTGCCATGCTATATCTGCCCTTCTACAACAATTTGTGCAAATTACTGATGACAGTTGAAATTGAATCAAATGAAATGAAATAGCCACTTGGCTTTAGGACACT